TATATATATATATATATATATATATATATATATATATACTGTATTAGTCAAGAGCCTTGAGTCTAATTTATCACATTTTTTACATTAAATTTTGAAGAGTGTTGTGATTTACATGTTGTAGTCAATATTAGACCTACAAAGTCGATTTTGGAACATAATAAACACAATAATCAATATTTTGTAAGTTCTCCTCTAGCTTTAAATATACGAGGACAACAAACAGCCATTTATGCTATCAATTATTTGAAATTATCAACATGTGATCTCCTCAAGTGAGCTTCTTTTATATACTATTTTCAACTGGTGCCACATATTAAAACTGAATTTGAACTGGGAACAAGTAGAGAGAGTGCGCGTGATGATCCAGAATTTTGTAATACTACCCCTTCTTCATAAAACCACAATTTTGACAATATCTTCCTCTTTTATAGTAGAAAATCATCATTACACCGAGAACCACCATCATGTTTCACTTTTTTCTTACACAAAAGTTTTATTTAACAAAATAGAAAAAAAAACAATCAATATTTGTATTGTTGGTCCATAATGCACTGTCCAACTTGGTCTTGACATTTTGCTGCAAAGTTGTAAAGCTTGACCATTTCATGTATGAGAAACTAGGTTTTCTGAATCCAACTTTTTCATACAGACTGCTTTCTAATAACCACTTTCAAACAGTTTTTATTGCCAGTGTTAGCTTCATGCATACATTGCATTTTAATATTTATTTCTGAGGATGGTTTTAATGAATTTGGTTTTGACATTCTTTCAAAGATTATTCTCCAGTCTAGATAATGTTTTGTACATTCCATCCTCTCACTAGATTTGTATCTCCTAGTGACAGCAAAACACTTTTTTTTGAACTGCACTTTTGAAGGTTTCAACAATATACTGTCTATTTTCTTTTCTATGTAAAGCAATAATTTGCACGAATTTTCATTGTTCAATTCTAAATCATTTATATAGATTTTAGTTATTTTCAAACTTGTAAAGTTTTTGACACTTTACTGGTCATTTAGTACAAACAACCAAAATTGAAACTTGGGTGTTGGTGATTTAAAACAGATGAACATATCAATAGATTACATAAATTTTAAATGGCCACTAGTTGATGTACAGTTGTGATACTTTTTATAGTACTATTCTTACTATACTCACAAAACAAAAAAGGTAATCAATGTCAACTGCTTAGAATACTGTGTACATTTTGATCTTCTTACTTAAGAAATGATACATGTTCAGAGGAGGTCTACTAATACGGTGATTTCTGAGATGGAATGATTATCTTACAGGAATAGGCTAATATCTCTTAACTGAAAGTATGAAGTCGTATGACATTACAAGAGTTTCAGGTAGGCCCAAAGGGTAAAGGCCTCACATACCTTTATACTGTAATTTGTACGCAAAAGAACAAGATGACGCAAGTTTTAGCTTTGGAAAAAGGACAGACAGTAGTGGAAACTGGCACTTACAATTCTTGAAAAATAAATGGTGAGTTGACATTTTTACTGCTTTTAAAGGTGGGTGTGTAACATGAATGTGAAGTAGAAAAGAAGAAATCTAAGGAAACTTGTGCTTAGCACAAACAGTGAGCTTGACAGGGCAATCCATGTGTCTCATGTTCAATAACATCACAGCTCTCAAACATGCACAAATTTTGCAAGATACCTTTAATTTTTTTCAATACTGTGTAACTAGAATCAAGGATGAATCTCAGAATCCATATTTCTTGACTGAAACATACAAGTTTCTGTGAATCCATGGACTTTTCACATCTCTCTTGTGCAAAGGCATCTATGAAGGACCAAAGGTCCTTTGTTGTCTGTATAGTAAGTTATATAACACACAGAAATAGCACAAGAGACACCATTAAATATTTCACTAACAGTGGTTCCATCTTTGCTTCTATATGGCAAAGTTCGTTTTTCTAGTTGGACTAAGATTTTTTTTTATGAACAATAACAAATTTTGTAGTGTGTTAAGAGTTTTAGAAATATGAATACACATAGTTTACCTGTTGTTGAATGTTCAACAAAGACTCCATGTATTGGACAATTGTATCCTTGAAATCTTGTATACGACAGTGTTCAAAGCGTTCCACTTCTTTTCGAACCATTTTGGAAATATTTTCAAACTCTTCTTGATCGCTTTCTACTTTGGATTCCCACTAAGATTTAAAATATGTTTTATTATATATCTTCAAAACTGAATTTTTATCAACAACTGCAAATATTCTTAAACCCTTTTTAAATATTATGCTGTCAACTTGCTTTCTTTTTTCAATAGTATATGGTAAACACTTATGTTTTAAGTAACACCTCACATTATGCTTAGCAATTGCTTAACACAGGAGTGTTTTCTGTTATTGGGAAACTAATTCCTTGAAACATAATTGATAATAATCCAAAAAGAATGAAGACCCATATTAAATTAGATAAAAGGAAAAAAACTACAGTAATTGAGTGAAAAATAAAATACACAATTGTATTTAAAAAAATGAAGAAGAGCATTACGTAATTCAAATATACTTTCTTCATCTTCAACAAATATTTCATTAGAATTTTATACTTACCAAAATGCTCTCAACACTGGTTGTATGATGAATTAATAGAACATAAGTTTTTTATTTTTACCTAATATATAATACTTTATTTAGACAAGTTGTTTATGATCATTTAGTAGTGTTTTTACTGCAGATGTGACCCTTACATACTGTAAGTGAAAATCTAGGTGCTAGGCAATAGTATATAATCATGGCTATAAGATTAGGCACAATTAATGATGGCAAAGAAGTTCCACGGCCAGCTCAGGACAACAGTGTTTTGATAAAAACATGATTAACCTCATTACAGTCAGAAAGTATAACTATTATATGATTTGTTTTATTGGATGAAGAAGTTTGAAAGTTGAGATGAGTTTTCTATAGACTATGCAGCTTCTGCAAATAAAATAATTTTTATATTCGGTATTTGTAAGAATTCACAAATTCTGCAAATATGAAAATATTTACTCATTTTTTCAAGAAACAATTAAAAATGCTTACCTTTAATGTAGATTTAAATTACTGATTTTCATGTTTTCCTACATTCTTGTAAAACTATCCTATAGTTTTTATTTTATAAAAACTGTAAATTTGAGCTTAATATGAAATTGAAAATTTTTACCATATCAAAATTATATGGAAGCCAATTTTAATAAAAAAAAACACATTTATCAGAAGGTTTCATTTAATATATGAAATAAGTTTAAAACAAATTTAATAATTGTTTGTGTATAAATTTTTGTCATTTCTTTTTGGTAATTTTCTTTGTCCATTCAAGAAGTTACATAGGCAAATAATGCTTAATAAAAGTGTGGCCTTGTTGGCAAAATGGAACAATTGAATGAAAATTCATTGATCTAAATAAGCCTATCTCATCTTGGTCCATGAAAAACATTTCTTATTCTACCATACTGCATCATCATAATTGAAATGATGTATAAAAAATAAATCAAGATCTATAAAATAACGACTGTAATTGTGGTAGAAGTTGTTCACAAAACATTTTTTACTAACAACATATCATCAAGCTATGCTTTTTTAGCACTTTGTTTCAATTTCTATCCAAGTGTCCCGTGAAATGGAAGCCATATTAGCTTAAACAGTTGAAACAGAAAAATGGCTTTCATCACACCTATAAAGCTGAGATATAGGCAATTACATCACACCATGATTATTGAGGTTAAGGAACAGTGATTGGCTAAGATCAATAAATCTAAACCTGAGATAACAAGGTTCAATTTAGTGTTATTTTGGTAAAAAATATTTCGAATTTCCTCCTAAGAGCCATAAGTACCACATTATACTGTTTAAAATCAAAGTTTGCACATCTTTTATTTTTGTGTATACAATTAAATAAGTAAAAGGTTATTAAATAAACTTCCACCCTGAAGTAGGTAAAAAAACGATCCAACAACAACAACAAAAAAAAAGAAAAAAAAGAAAAAAAAAGAAGAGACTACAAGTTTGTTTTGTATGATTTTTGAAAAATTCAATGGTGCAATTTTGCCTTTAGGGCAGGATGCACCAATTTTGACACTGCAGAGTTAAAGTGATGATAGTCATTGACCAGCCCAATAATTGTTTAGTGTGAAATTTTCAAAAACAATAAATGGTAGTTCTAATGATATAATAGCTTTCCAATAATTTTAAAATCCTAAGCATCAATAAAATAACTATTAGCACACATATTTTAATACTGATGCATCAGCTTGATTTGTGAAACCCGAGTCTAAAAAAAGAAAAAGTTCTAAAATTTCCTGCAATTTCATGTTACTAATTTTAATTTGGAAACTTCAAATTCACAATTTTTCTAAAAATACCTTATAATTTTTGCTAATAAGAGATGCTTTGTCCTATCAGTTCCACAAAAAGTTCCCATGCTTTCTTATCTTATATACTTAAAATAGCATGTTTTATCTCATTTATAGGTTTATTCAAGAGAAACAGAAAAGTATGATATTTCCAGATTAACTACTTAGGTGAAATAACTACTAAGAACAATGACGTTGATTTTGAAAAAATATAAAAAATAAATATTTCATCGATGGTATTTGACTTTTTTTTTTTTATAGATATTAATTTTGTTCTATTTATCTTTCAAGTTCTATTCAAGTTTCAAAGTCTAGTTGGTAATGTGTACGTTAAAAATACCGCTTAGTGTGTGTTTTATAAACAAGTGAGCACTGTAATCTCGTACTTCTGTCACTTCTTCTCGAGCTTGAGCAATTTTGTCTGTTTTACCAGCAAGTTCCAGCTTTGCTTTCTGTTCTCGTTTTTTGGTTAACATCTGCTGGGCATGTTGCCATGTTTGGTAAACCTTCACTCGTTGATGGAATACACTCTGTACAGAGAAAAAAATCACTGTAGTTACCTCACTCAATAATGAGACCCCTAATAAGAGCTGTGATGATTATTTTTTATTGAAAATGGCAGAAGAAGTTTTTGAAGTACAACACATATATGCATCTTAAATATATTTTGAGAAAAGTATTGAAAATCATATTTAAAAAAAGTTTCTTTTTTAAGTAAAATATTTTCTTCTTATAAGTGTACCAAATTTTAGTTACAGGCACATTTTTAATTTTATAATTAAGACTGCAAACTGTAGAGACTGGGTGCAAATATGTCTTACCTTAATAGTCCCAATGAGTGCAATATAGTCCTTTAACATCTCTGCTAATAAGAAGAAGTCCTTGTTTGATTGACTCATATGCACTTGCTCCACTTTATCCTCAACTTCAGAAAGCTGAGAGAGTGCTCTAGAAAGGGCAGTATGCTCTTCACAATTCCCCAACATGGCTATACTTTTAGCAAACAAATTTGTGGTGTTGCACAGCTCTGTTAAAATAACAACATTTATTTAAAGAAAAAGTTTTATTTTTCAAAACAGGCTTTCTACCAGAGTAAAGAAAGCTAAGCTAAGCTGCATCTAGCAAGTTAATGAATAAATATATTTAAGCAAAGCTGTATCTGTCAATATTAAGAAAATAATCATCCAATAATAAATTTTAAGACTTTAATCTTCGTAAATGCAATACACAACAGTAACACAAGCCAAGCAAAGATGCACCTAGCAAAATAGGCAAGAAGTCAAATGAAAGCAATGTAAATGACTTATAGCTGATGGTCACTTTTAAATACCACTTCTCTTTATGAAATTTTTAATATTTCAAATTTTTCCTCTACTAATAAAAAATATAATTCTCAGTGCATGTATATGGTCGCAGTTGTTAATAATGTAATCAACAATGACTATACTGTCATAGCTTTCAAGCGGGTAATCACTGTCAGGTTATATATGGCCGGATTCTTTACAGTTGGTGTCTGTGACTTGTTGCCAATAAATTTCAACAATAAATAGACAGCTTGTTTTAAAATAATATATTCAAAACAAGTCAAACGTATGTACAAAAATCGTTACACTATTGGTTATCACACTTGTACCCAGGCTTCAGATAATTCTCTCTTTCTCTTCAAAGTCCACACAGGTTGGTTTAATTATTTTAGAACACCCTTTGACAAGACAAATTATTCTCCTCTATATCTGTTATTACAATCACCAATGACTATATGGTAACAGTTTTTTAAAGTAGATAATCATCTGTAAATATGTGATCAATCATAGTTGTTAATAACGTAATCATCACGGACTATATGGTAACAGTGTTTAAGTAGGTAATCATCTGTAAATATATAATTACAGTTTTTAAGCAGGTAATTACCAATGACTATATGGTAACAGTGTTTTAAAGTAGATAATCATCTGTAAATATGTGATCAATCACAGTTGTTAATAATGTAATCACCACGGAACAATATGGTAACAGTGTTTAAGTAGGTAATCATCTGTAAATATACAATTACAGTTTTTAAGCAGGTAATTACCAATGACTATATGGTCACAATTTCTAATTAGGTACAAGAAAATTCAAGCAATAATCAGTAAAGCTCAATCAAAAACAAACTACAAACACAATTTATTGTAAACATGGAAATTATAAATTCAAAAGGTATAGCTTATTATTTATGACTAATTTTGCATTCATGACATAGGACAAAAATATTTAACATTGTAATCTAAAATGAAAAAGTAGAGAAAAAACCAAAAAGCAGATATTTGAGGGAGAAAATAAAAAAGTAGGAAAAATAGAGATGGTAGACTAATATTTACATAAAATAAAAACAAAATTTGGACTTCATTTTACAATTTTACTTGTACTGAGGGTTAGTCACACAAGGGCAGTTACTTTCTGCACATCATTAATTGTGATCAATCTGATGACTATGAATATGCACTATTGTTTGACACTACAACTTACTGTGAAAAATAACGAGGTCAACTGCAGACCACACATTATGATAAACTTTCTACAGATCCTTCACAGTACATGAATCAGCTTCTAAGCCAATTCAATTTTTATCACAATGCCCTTCTGAGAATGGTTCTTATTTTGTAACTATCATTTTGGCACAATGCCTGTTACTGTCATAAATGCTCTGTGAGCTTTCCATTTTGATTCAGAATACTGAATGTTCCCTTCTTCAAAACATTTTCTTTTGGTTCTACATAATTGGACAGCCTCATTATGCAAATATCCTTCCCCAGAATGGGCTGAGACATTTACTTCCAGCCATAATTCTACCATAGTGGTACTGCATGTCAAGTCAAAGAATTCACTATGAACAAAATATGTAGGTGCTAAACATGTTGCCCATGTGTCACAGCTTGCACAAACATATACAATGTGTAATGGTATTATTAACTCTCTTTAAAATAATAATAAAATGCAAGGTAACTAAAGTGTGTCCAAACAATATATATCCTGAATTTGTAAAAGTTTCAAACATAATGCAAATGATACATTATTCTTAAAATTTCAATTCACCTTTGCGATGGTGAACCAGGGCCTCTACGCTATTGTGTAGCTTACGAAGTTGTTGTTCCAAATTTTCCATTTGATGTTGTTTTTCTTCAAACCACTGAAAAGAGAAAAGAAATGTTTATATAACTTTCAAAATTGTCTGTTTTTAACTTCAAGAATTAATAAATCTCAGCAACTTATTTGTAAGTTTATCTTAAATGCTAAAAGGGACATCCACTCAAAAGTTACAAGATGTCAACATTTAATTCAGTTACCTAAAAAAATTGCTGTAATTTCATAGATTAATCATTTGAACATTTTTAAGATACATGTGTACAGCTTTTGAACAGTTTCTCTGAATACAAAACAATTCATAACAAAGATGAAACAGCAATCGTAACAGTTTTTGCAATGTCAGTATTATAGTTGCTTAGATATTAAAGTAGTTAAAGAACACACTAACTCAAAGTTTTTGTAAAATAATGAACATTTTGAGAGCTTACCAATTCTCATTGTCAAGGGAGTCAGAGAAGAATTATTGAACTTAAGTCATGACATATGAAAAATTGCAATAATCAGTGGAATCAAAACTAAAGAATATTAAAACTATTAGGTATGAAATATAGAAAGTTTTACAATTTATTTTAGTTAATGTGATTTTCTCATACTTTATGTATTGTTCCCAAATGATCTTCGGTCATATTTTTGTAATGAAAGCTTAACTTCAATATGATTAGTGCATGGGTAAAACACTAAATAAGCTGTATATGCATCAATAACAATTTTTATTACTAATTTAGTACATGGATAATCAGCACAAATATTCTAGATAGTATTACTACAACTCCATTAAAAAGTTAAAATATAATAACAATAGAAAATAGATATCACTTTCACTATAATATGATGTTTCAAGCAATGTATTAGGCAACTTAATAAATGGATATGAAATACAGCAGAGCAGCAGACATCCTACCTGAATGTCAGAGAGAGACTGATTAAGTAAAATGTGATTCCAGAAGAAAGGAAGCATGAAGAAAATCAGAGAGAAATGTAGAAAACACCATACATACACGGAATACAGAATGAACATAATAAACCATAGCTAAAGACACATGCTACAAATTAATCCCTCAAAAAGAACAATAATTTAAATACAATACAATTGACTTAAAAGAAAACTTGTAAAACAAAAATACAGATAAAAATATTTCAAATATACTGAATATTGTTACTTTAGAATTAAAATATTAAGTATCATTTCACTGCTGGGCAAAGATATTCCATAAAAAAAAGTGTGTTGTAAAACTAATAAGCTCTTTGTGAAGAAGGTCAGGTAGACATAAATTAAGTTTCAAAAATTATAGATTAATGTGTACCATTAATGTGCAAAATAGAATATAAAGTAGTGGTAAAAAACTCGCCAAATTAAAACAACTTTATTAACAAAATAAGAAAATGATGTTTTGGGCAACAGGCAACTAGTGACAATGTTAATATAAGGGTTAGGTTGAAAGAACAAATAACATGTGGCTCGAAGGCTCAAGACGATGTTCCTGAAGCTACAAACGAGCTAATAGAAGTAACATATAAAATAAAAACATAATAATAATAATAATAATAAAAGTACAAAAATTGTATAAATAAATTTAAAAAATGAAACTTAGACCAAAAATACATGCAACAATGTTAGAAAATAAATGAACACGTGCATTTGGTAATATTGTTCAAAAAGATGTAACAATAAAGGGTAAGTGAACTTAATAGGAGTGAAGAATGACTGTGAAAAGAAAATAATATAAAAGTAACAAAAGTGGGTGACTAAAGTGAACAGGCTAGAGAGGAATAAGAGTGCGAACAATGAACGAAAGGTTGTAGCCATAAAATTCCAGTGTGAGAAAGTATAAAAAAGTGTAGGGCGGGGAAAAAGAAAGGATGAAGTTAAATGAAAGAGAACTCTTCATTCATTCCAAAGGGATTAACAGTGCCTAATCTAAAAATCAAACGTTTTTCCAGGCCTTCTCTTTGCTTTACAGTGGATGGAGCAAGTGCGAGTCCAAATATGGAGAAATCAGACATGCAATGGGAAGGATTATTAAAGTGTCTACCTGTGGGTTTTGTATCATCATTATTTTTTTATGTAGGAGAGATGTTCACGTGAATGATCCCCTAAGTGGTGACCCGTTTGACCAACGTATTACATGTTGCACTTTTTACAGCAAACACAGTATATCAAGCTTATGGAAATGCAAGTGAACGATTGTTGTATTTGAAATTTCCCATTAGGGCCAGATATGGATGTTGTGGTGTTAACATATTGGCAAGTGATGCATTTCTTTCTATGACAACAGGCTGTACCCAAGTTCATACTAGGGGTAGATTTCTGAATGACACCGTGGACTAAAATGTTTTTTATATTTTTATTATGTCTGTAACTGACAAGTGGGGGTTTTTTAAAAAATTTGGAAGAAATTACAGCTTCTTTGTTTAATTTTGCACAAAAGCTAGTTGAAAGCTATCTGTGCCAGCCATCCCTAATTTAGAAGTGATAGACTAGAAGGAAGGCAGTAAGTGAACATCACCTGCTGCCAACTCTTGGACAATTCTTTACCAACTAAAAAAGTAAGATTGACTGTCACATTATAATGCTACCGTGGCTGGAAGGATGAGCATGTTTAGTGATGTAATTTGAGCCTGTGACTTGCAGATTGTAAGTCCAACACCTTAACCACCAGGCTGAGCTATTACAGAAAATAAAGAAATTATTTTACCCAAGGCAATGATAAAAGTGTGATATATGAATATACCATATATTTCTATCTTTTCGTTGTTTTATAATATTTAACCTGAATTCATTCTTTGATCTGGATGTATGAAGGTTTCACACAACACAGTAGAGAAAATTGTTAAATTGATCTTGTTTCAAGCCTTTATTTCTTTGTTGTTCTCGAAGTAATTAACATCCGTTACCACTCAGGGAGAACATTGATTAACACAATGTTGTGTAAGAATGGCAACAGCTATTTTCTTCAACAGTTGTTCAGGTGATATCTAGAGGTTATGATCCTATTTAATTTGTAATGAGAATGACTAGTGACATGGGTAATGCATGTTGAGCTGAGTGAATGTGAGCTTTCTTGGAGAACCTGGCATTTAGGTAGTCTGCAACAACGTCACAACAGATAATGTCTAGGACTTGGTCTTGATCAAAACAGTGGGAGAAGAGCCACCAAGAACAACCATTTGGCATGAGAACTGCAAATATATACATCGTGTCTGTGTTTGATTGTCTAATACATCTTGTGCACTTTGTTCTAGATTTGTGCCCAGTCTTGTTATTCTATTTAACATTAACTCAGTTATGCAAGGTTTATTAATTCTCTACAATCGGTATCTTGAACGAATCTCTTGTTATTTATTTAGTGGACCTATCTGATAGCTGGAACAAATATCCAGTTCACCTGAATATACCATAATATCCAAACATATACAGGAAGTAGCTCTCCATCTTTATCTGATGCGCATCACCTCACTGTTCAAATATAATATTCATACAAACAGATTATTTTTTAATGAAAAACTATCATTAGATTATTGTTTACTTGTTACATATGTATCTATAAAATATCTAGTAGTGTTACACTTGCTTGTTTATGAAGAGTAATAGACCAACACAGTCTACCTGCTAAAAAGACAAACCTATGCTATGTCAAAACCAACACTACAGTGATCAAAGTCAACAGACTTGATATTTGTGCCATTATGTTAAAAACTACATTTTTAACCACTTTCCACTAAATATAACATTAAATGACAATATCACACAAGTAGTTTGGTAGTCAAACACTGTAGAGAAAACACTTTTCAAAATAAAATCTGAATAACTTCTTTTTCAAAAGACAAACTTTTAATTTATTGATTAATATGTTGCACACAAACTATAAGACCAGCAACCATAAGTTTTGCCCCAACCTCTCCATTGACGAAGCAATGAATTTGCTTTTGTCGATTACTTTGTAAATATACAAATAGTGCTGGAATTAAGTAAAATCCTTCCAAAGCACATCAAAACTAGTAAAGGAATTTTATCTAAAGTTTTAGTTTCAACTTAATTATATGTTATTTTAATTTTAAAAAGTAAATGTAGTATGTTGACAACAATATGGTACATTAAAATGTCTAAAAATTAATTTAATTAAATAACTTTTCATATTGTACTTCATTTGGTTTGCTGTTATTTAAAAATACATCAACTAGACTATACAAAGTGTAGATATTATGTGTTTATCAAAGTGCAACCATAACTAAATACATTTTTAATGTGAATTTATTTGGTATTTGCAGAAAATAAGCATTTTTTTCTGCATCCAGTGAAAATAGATTGAATTCTAATTTCTTTTGCACTAATTACTGAAATTAAGCAGTTTATAACCTTTAATATTTGTTTAAACATAATCTTTTTTTTTTCTTCCTTTTCACTGAAAAAAATGAAGTCTAAGTCTCTGGATTAATCAATTGTTATTGTTTGCAAAATATGTAAAATCTGGCATTTTCTAATAACTCTAAAATTGATAAGTAAAATCAAATTACTTATAAAACAAAAGACTAAATTATGTGTTTTCCTTTACTTTCTTTGGCTTCAATTAAAGTACTTTAGCTATAAACTAAAAAATATTTGCTTACTATTGTAAATTCAACACAACACAAACTACAAGTATGCTTCATTATAATATATATATTTTTTTTTAATTTCAACTTATCTTTTACTGTTGTGCTTACAAATGAACTAACAAGACTAAAGTCAACTGAATTTTCAAAATCTTTACACTTAGTGTTTCCACACTTAATAATGTTTCCCAAACAATTTCAAACATTCATATAGATTGACAAAATATATGTAAAACAACAACAAAAAAATGTTTTGCTTAAAAATAGTACTTAATAAGCTTAATAACAACTTAATTGTTCAACTAGTTCTTATCCTGTAATTAATACTGATTTGTATTTTAATCTTCCCAATGGCATACATATAATGTCACAAGCCTTACAGTAAAATTTCAATATTTCCCCACCTTCTTTATTATTCACATGAGAAACAGGACATGAATGCTTGTATCTCAAGGTATGTTAATATCTTAGAAACTTTAAACCTATGTACTAGGATGGGCAGAAACTTCTTAAAAAATTAATAAGTGTGTTCTTTATAGAAGAGTCCTCAGAGATGTGCAAAAAATAAAATAACAGCTTTTTTCCTGAATTACGCTAATATTATTAAAAAATAACAAAATATTAACACTAAAATATTTTTGATTAAAAACGTTTAGAATTATTATGAATACTTAAATTTTGAAAAGCTGGTGTGCCCTCACACCAAGATGATGCTCATTATTCAAGATAGGGTTAATGGCTTAATTTTACAGGCCCTGTAGCTGTACTATGGTGGTATGTACCCCACTGTACCTTCCTATCAATTATAATTTTAACACTGTTCATAATAATATGTGAGCAATCTATAACAGAGGCACCATTTCAGTTTACAAAATTTCTAATAATATGAGTAAAGTTTGATTTCACTGTCACATTAGTCCAAAAACTTACAAACAAACATTTAAAATTTAGATTCTATTTTTCAAATACAAACAGTATAACCCAACAGGAGCAGAGGTATTCTGCTTTTACCTCTGACGAAGATAAGTTCACCTGTCAAACATGCTCGAGTTTTTGTACTGCTTCTAATACTAACAAACTTAAAGTAGACTAGATTTAGGATTTATAAAGGAGACAGTGGTTTCTAGGAAATATTTTATACTCACTGTAAGTTAATACAAATGCTGTTCTCAATTAGTCACATTTTATTAACTAATGGATGTTGATATTTTCTACCTTATATCTTAAAGTACATGTATTCTTATAAACTTGATTATCATTCTCATAACAATTCAGATGGTTTCTAACTAATATCCTTTTAAAAAGTGCTAATACATTTTTGTTGCAATAACCTAGTGTTTATAACTTCATCTCTTCTAAGTGGTTGGTATTTTTCTCAAACTATGAATTGTTTCAGTTTAATATTTCCACTGCTTTTTTTACCCTTACAGTAATAACTTAAAAACACATTTTCCAGTTTAACATCACCAATGGATATATTTATCTATTCATCATTAAAATCAGAATTTGCATATCAGTAATGAAACAATTTTAAAATAATTTACTTAGAAAGCATTAGGTTATTTAACATACATACACAGAGATTAATTGAATTCCAAGTTACAAGTAAAGCTACAAGAGAAATTATATCTACAATCACACTTACTGGGTCTGACTCGTCCATTTTAAAAGTCATCTTGCTCATTGATTCCCCAAATTTGTTAAACAATCTCATAACTCCTGCTCCACTTAATGCAGATGTACTGGTTGCTCGAGGAAGATCAGACTCAAGTTCTAAAAATTCTCGAAAATCTGGATCCAAACGAAGAACAGGGTGATTTGCTGTGCGATTCAGGTAGCGTTCTAAGGCTGCTCGTCTTTTTTCAACAAAATCAGAGGAACTTCCCGATTCATCTTTACTCATTTTTATCTTTGTCATGCCTAGAATTTTACATGCTTCCGTTAGAACACTTCAAACTAAACTTTAACATGTAAGTGGTAGTATATTTTAAAAATACATGGATATTTATTATTAATGTAATATGTTAAGGTTTCTTAGTACTATCACAAGTCCTAACTGTCAAGAGAGACTTTAAATTACTAAAAATGCTATACTAAGTAGATGCATAATCCACTGATTGTTAAATTGCTTAATACAATATGTAGTAAATATAATGTATAGGAGTAAAATATAATAATTGTAAAGAAAAAATTACATTAGTAATCTGCTGTTAAAAACAGAACTTCAAAAATTAAATTTAAAGAATACTATATATTAATAAATCACATAGAACTATGCTCCAAATATAAATACCAAATTTTAAATCACTTTGTATGGTTAAGATTCATTTTCTTTATTATTCAGTGTTACTATTGAGAAAATCTCTGAAAGAAACCAGTCATTTTAAATATAATTGCTCATTGAAAATTAAACTGATACTTGTCCTTTGTCAGAGAGCAAAAAATAATTAAAAAAAATACATGTATAAGCTATTCCAAAACATTAAAATTAAAAATTTTCAAACCTATAACACTTTTCTCAGGTGCAGGGGGAACCAATCGGCCCAGATGAAGATGTTTCTGTACGAGTTTATCGTGTAAGCCAAGAAAGTCACTAAATCGACGAGAGACTATCATATTTTTGTTTTTGAAATATGGAAAGTTAGTTTTAGTCTCCACCCTGTATATCATGTAAGCTCCCATGCCATCCCCAACTTTCTGAGGTTCATTAATTGAAATATTCAGAAACTGGTCCCCACTTTCTTCTTCTAGCTGTAAGGAAATATTGAAGTGTCCTTAAAATGTGTTATAAATTACATTTCCTCCATCAACAAAGAGTCACAACTTAGCCAAAGTTAAAAACAAAATGTTTGCACAAGCACTAAAAAAACTATGTTAATCTGGTTCTTTCTGCTATATCTAATAAATAAATATTCTTAAAATAAGCTATCCATAAGTCAGTAACTTAAAGCAATAAATTCCTACTACATTCTTGTATTTTTTTAAGCAATGTAAATATTATTTCTATAAACATAAATCAAAATGTCTTGTTTAAATTGACAGACTTAAAGAAGGCTTACAGATATTTTTATGTGTTTATGAATGTTGGATTTAGGAATTAGAAACAATACAAATACTAGAAATAAAACACTGAAAACACAACTTTCAAATTTTTTTCTTCTCAAATGTTTGTGAATAAATTGGTATAAAATATTTTTTTCATTATTGGAAATTTCATACACAAATAGTAGCACTCAAATACCTCACTTTATACTTTAAATCATGTTAAAAGACATTATTTCCAAAGGAATTAATTGTTGCTAATATTATTGTTTCTGAAATGAGTATCAATTTAACAAAGATTTCACCTTTTTCACAATATGTTAATTCTAGATGTGACAAAAATAAATATAACAATGTTTTTTAAGTAGGAAGCTGTAGGATGTGATCATAACTTCACTCTGATTCAAACACCCCAGGAAGAGCATGGTTCCTTCATTTGCAAAGTCAATAACCATATTCAGCATGTGTAAAGCACACACACACAGGTGAAATGTGATACTCAGTAATATCCTCCAAGTAAATACAGACTTTTACGGTAATATGACACATTAAACACAGCTGACAATTTCATAGGCACATTATGATTAGAGCTATTCGCATAAGACATCAACTGTGGATATGACAAAAAGACAAGGAACTAACAAGTCAGTTGGCAGTAATGAAGTACCACAACTGTATAACATTCATTTGAACTGAAACTAAGATCCAATATTGCTGCCCAATAAATCATGTAGAAAATGAAGAACTATGAGTAGGTTGAAACATGGTCTGTGTTGTATGAAGAATTTTAGTATCATGTTTGTTGAAAGCATGAGAACAACTCAACAAAGGCTTTTTGTACTTCTGAGGTAAGTCTACATTCTAATAAAAAACGTTTTAAGAAACATTGCATCACATAAACAAACCACTGTATATACATGTAAGCTGTACACAATCTTCAGCACAAAAATACATGTGCCTCAACACAACAAAAAGAATGCAAAAACAGAGAACAGTGACTTAATTGACTTCTAAGCAGTTTTAATGTTTAGTTTAACATGAAACTTGGTAGGTTTTGGTAAACGTCTGTTTAATAGAACAAAAAAATAACTTTTTCTGTTTACTTATAATCTCAAAACAATTACCCACAAACTAACCTCTTCTGGTGACTTAGCTGCCTTCCTGGCAGCTGGTTTTGGGGGTCCAGTTGGAGTTATCTCAGCAGGAGCAGAAGGTTCTGTAATTTTATCATCAGATGACGATTCCAAGAATGGAGATTTTCTTTCTTCTTCAGGAGTACAGAATTCAAATTTTGTCTCTGGACTAACTGGAGGACCATCATCATCAAGATTAACCTCTTCTCCACCTCCTGTAAAATATAAGAAGAAAAAAATAATGCATTATTTTGATGTAAAATAAACTTATTTCACATCATAATTCTATACAGAGTTGTGCAATTTAATCTATTAATTGCAATAACTGATTAATCAAATTACGATTAAATCAACTGTCACAAAAATAAGCAACTAGTTGAATTTATTTGTTCTGATTATTCCAACAACAGATTATTTGAAATCATGATTAAATTGATTGTCACGAAAATAACCAACTAATTAAAATTAGTATTTCTGATTATTACTGCTTTCTATATTGATTGTTATAAAAACAATCAAATAATTGAAATTAGGGTTTCTGGTTATTCTAATATCCAAGTAATCAAAATATTGCCATTATGTTTGTTGTTAAGCACAAAGCTACATAATGAACTATTTGCACACTGCCAACTGGAGGTATCAAACCTATTTTAGCTTTACAGCTTTTTTTCATACTTTAAGTTTGACGATTTGGAGTTCAGAAGCAAGATTTAAGGGTTTTGGGTTCAATTTCCATTGCCAACAAACATTTTTGCCCTGTATTTGTTAAAGCAAAGCTACTAACGATATCATCCTCTGCTGACTAGAAGAAAGGTAATTGGTTGGCAGCACCCACTGCCAACCCTTTGGCTACTTACACATTATATAAAGTGCATATTTTACCATGTTATGTTTCTAATCTATAATTTGTATTATTTAATATCGCATAAGCAGGCATGAATCTTGGGAGGTGATATACACAGTCCAATCACCCCCACCCTCTTCATATTTTTCACAAAAAGTCCAAATAAAAAAGGCTGTGGTTTTACTTTACTTGGGCTATTACCATGAAAAGATTTTTTCTTAGGTTTTCTGAAATCAACACAGTTGGAGTCTATAGCAATCAAATGAATGTCTCCACCAAGACCAAACTATTCTTAAACTAATAAAAGAATATGAATGTTCATTAACACTTTCACAATGAGAGCCCCTTTAAAAGCTTTTCAATGTATGTGAATGAAATTAACTCTTTCAGCACAGGGTAAGTCCCTGGAACCAACCTTGTAGTCATTTTGTGCTTATTATAGTTTTCATGTTTTAACTTTTAAATTAATAAGCAAATGTTAACAAAATTTGGTATATTATCAATAAACATTACAATGCTTTTACACACAAAATATAAAATTTTCATATTTTTCACATGCCTTTTTTTTCTTTTGGCATGTTGCCTATCTAACATACAAAGTAATTTTCATTTTATGATTAAAAATACTTTTGTGCATCAGAAAATTTTAAAATTTCACATGAAAACTCTTTATAATGTCCAGATAGTTATCAAGTGTTTCTTAGGTAATTTTTTTTTATATTTTATGTTATTTTCAGTAATTAATCTCTGTACATGTTTGGTAGATTTCACCGATCTCATAACCACCATAAAAAAATTAGGAAATAAATTATGCCTCTTTCAGTCAAGAATGAACACAAATTA